TTACACTGCTAGAACGCATGGTGCAGAAAATGTATGAATTTCGGGATTTTTTTTTTTTTGAATGAGTGTAAAAATTTTTTACAGATATTAAAACCTGTAAATTAGAATATCTGATTCTATATTCTTTCTACATTAAAGGAGCGTTCATTTCATTCGTTTATCATAAGAAATGTAGAAATTACACCATTTTTAGAAACATGCTTACAATTCCATTGCCCTAGAAGGGCGGGCATTTAAATAAACTCCGTCCAGCTGCCCCTACCGGAAATTAAATGGCCCGTCCGATAAAGGTTAATTAGTTAAGCACATGGACAACTTTACATTACTGTTACCATTACCTTTACACCACACAGTTAGAGGTATTGGCTCTGTTGTTCAGGAAACTGCATAAAGCTATCCCTATAACAGGCTGTGGAGGCCCATATGGTTGTGAGATGTCGAGGCTCCAACATTTTCTAGACAATCGGCTCACAGATGGTGGTGAGGTTGTCATCCTTACACGCCAGCCACCCTTTACCCCCGTGAAGATTCCTGGTACTCTTTTCTCTTAATGCTGAGTTGACCCCAGGATCAGCTGGAAGGATTAGGTAAATTGAAAAATCCAGTGACCTAAATTTGAATTGAACCCGCAACCTTCCAGCTTGTAACATAGTGGCCCAACCAACTACGCTACTGTAAATATAGAAATAAATTGATGGTGTTAGCTGGTTGAAGCTGCTGTGCCTGTCTCTGATGTCAGCATCAACTTAATGTAAGGACACTTTCCTTTTGTAAGGTAACATAGAGGTATCCCTGTGCTTAATTAATTAAGCGTCTTACCATGAAGACATGGGTGAGTGGAATTATAGCTCTGCCATTCTTGACCCTGGCAGTAGAGGGATGTGACTGGTCAGCTTCACACCCTGGCCACTTTACCCGTGGCAAAAGACATACCAGTACCCATAAACTAGGAGGCTGGGTGCGCCTCAGAGCTGCTCTGGACATTGTTGAGTAGAGAAAATTCTCTTGTCCTTTCCAATAATTAAACCCTGCCTTTTCAACATGTAGCCCATTGTTATTCAGATTGAGTCATACTTGCTCCAATTTTCCTGTGCATGTACAAATAATAGTTTCAAAGGGAATACAAGGGACCTCAATACACAAATAAGTGTTTAGGAATGGCTGACTGTATATAAACCTCAACAAGCTCAGCCCATAAGGGAAGAATGTAATAGTCGCCATATCTGTGCACAATTTTCATAATGATGTGTTCATGCCTCTATGATGTTTCTACCAGGTTGTGCGCAATGTAACGCTGGTCCAGGTGAAGATGAATGGGACAGAGTATTTCCGAAAAACTATCTCTGCGACAGGTCCACTTGATGTGAACGTGTTATATCTCGGAGGCATGCCACAGATGGGGCGTACCATTCGCCAAGTTGAAGCAATTCCAGATCGATCTGAAATTACAAAGCCCCCAGTGAACTTCAAGGGAATCATACAAGATGTGCAGGTAACATAGAGTATAGATTCCATGGCATATTTTGGATCCCTTTTGTCTTTTGCCATGTTGATTTCACTACCAGGATTTAATTTTTATTTGTTTTCTTCATATTTTGTCCATCCTATCCATTTTGGTTTCATCTCTCTAACAGTATGAGGCAAGCTTTGCACAGTATTTAATCAAATTTGTCAGAAAAATATATTTTCCATAATATAGTATAACATGATAAGGATATACATAAGGATACATTACAGTTGGGTTCAAGTGATTGGTTGATACATTAACCCCCTCCCATCCTTCTTTCCAACTTCACTCCAACCAGCACAAAAATAAAAATGAAAAGTCACTTTGGCTTAGGGAAATATGAAACTCCTCTTGCAGCAGAAGATATGTCAAAATATAAGGAGCTAGCAATAATGTGGCAGTAAATTTGTGAATGTTGATAGAAGGCTTCCAACAGGGAACAGGGAAGGACTAAACATTGTGCTTTTGGTATTTCTATCTTGTGCTATGTGTAACAGAATAGATGACAAAACATTTGATGTTATTTGTTACAGATTAGCAATGGGAATCGCATCATGGTGGTTGAATTCTTTCCTCTGGGGGCGGATGATCTGGAGATTCCTCCTCCGTTTGGTACTGTAAGCTTTGATAAAACGATGGTACTGGAGGGAGTTGTGTCTGACAACTCATGTAGGAGCAATCCATGTGAGCACAGTGGAACCTGTTTTGTGACATGGAATGATTTCAGGTACAAACTTACTCCCACCAAGCAGGAGTACTGTGTTCTTTGCCCAGGGTATGATTGCTTTCATTGACAATATCACAGTAAATAGTTGCTAAACTTCAAGGAAGGAGTAACGCTCAAATCAATATTGGTGTAGAAGCTTTTGGATACAGAAAAATATATATTCTGGCTGAGGTTTCTTGTGGAAAGATCAATACCTGCTTAAAAGAAATAATATTTCACAAGCACTAGGACATGCCACAGATATTAATATTGCAGACGTGTGTTATGAAGGTATTCTAAGATACAGCCAAAAACTATACATCACTGCCATCTATGAATAAAAGCCAAAATTGTGTACTAGCTAAAAATATGGAATAACCATGAAAACTAGTCGCTGTCCACTTAACACATTGAGGACCAGTCGCATGATATCATGCTTTTGGCTTTTAAACATGGCGTACCGGTCACATGATATCATGATTTTAGGACATGTTAGGTTGTAACACAATATACCTTGCTCTGGCACCACCCAAATTGCACGCAATGGCATAATAAAACTCTGGAATGTTTGCTTACCTGTCAGTAACTTGACCTCACTGCTTTCTTAACCCACTATAAACGAAAATGCTTTGCTGCTCTTCGAGCTTTATGTATCAGCCAGTAGTTAGTGGTGGGGTATGGACAAGGACAAATTCTTCTTCGATGAGCTTGCTGACCTGCCTTGTCAGACACATAGTCATGGTGATTCAGAGAGCAGCACTGACAGGGGAGAACAAAGACTTGTGGCCACAGACAGTAAATGTGACAGTAGCTCCGACAATAATGCAGGTAATAAATTACGGGGACAGTAAAAAATCTAAACCCTGATTTGAAATTGAAATACAAAGCATTTCTGATGAATGTGGCAAAGGCCTGGGCTACAGACCAGATGGTGGCGGCAGAACCAGAGTCAGACACAGATTTAGTGTAACTGGGCCCATCAACTTCCACCCCAAGCAGGCCTCATGTGGACCCCCCAGGGCGGCTCTCAGGTGATATAGGGAAACATACCCTCATGAAAATTGTGAAGAGTGAACATTCCAAGGGGAAGCATCCTTCTAGACAATGCCGTGTTTGCACAGTTCACAAAAAAAAAAAGGAGTATGTCTACATTTGCGAGTTCTGTGTAATACCACTTCACAAAGGGGAATGTTTCCAGAAATATCACACCCTCAAGCGCTTCTAGGAGCACTGGAAAGTGTTCTCCAAAAATTTTAGTTCATAACATTAATTAGGAGATTTCTAAGTGAACAGTGCACAAGTTAGAATAGTAGGTTTAATAATGGCAGCCCCAGGGTGATTGAAATATTTAAATCGCTGGTCCACACTGTGTTAAGCTTTATACGTGGTGTGTTCAAAAAGTATCGAACCGTTGGTCGGTAGAAATACATTTATTGATTTGGAGGTACAAAACCATAATCCCCTTCAAAGTAGTCTCCTTGGTAATGCACACACTTCTCCCAGTGCTTCCGCCATTGTTGGAAACAGTTCTGGAACGCGTCTTTTGGAATGGTGATCAGCCGGGCCATCTCATTCCGCATGATGTCTTCTCTTGACTCAAATTGGGTTCCTTTCAGCGGCATTTTCAGCTTGGGAAATAGCCAAAAGTCACACGGAGCCATGTTGGAGTAGGGAGCCTGACAAACAACAGGGATGTTGTGTTTGGTGATGAGAGTCTGAATCAGATGCGCAGAATGGGCGGATGCGTTATCATGATGGAGCTGCCAAGATTTTGCTGCCCACAGATCCGGTCATTTGCGCCGCACAGCATCATGAAGGCGACGAAGGGCCTCCTGGTAGTATTCCTTTGTGATGGTTTAGCCTTGTGGTGCGTACTCATGATGCACAACCCCACGGGAGTTGAAGAAAATGGCCAACATGACCTTGACATTGCTGCAGACCTGCCGTGCTTTTTTTGGCCTCAGGAATGTTGGATGTTTCCACTGTGACGACTGCATCTTGGTTTTCGGGTCGTACCCATAAACCCACAACTCATCGCCTGTGATCTCGGTGTTCAGAAAGTTGGGATTACTGTTTGCATTGTCCAGCATGTCCTGTGTGATTTCCAGACGGCGTTGCTTCTGCTCCATTGTTAGCAGTTTCAGCACGAATTTCGTGGACACTCTCCTCATGCCCAAATCCTCAGTAAAAAATTGAATGTACTGATCCAGTGCTACCCCTATCTCGTTCGCAAGTTCTCGGACTGTGATACGACGGTCCTCCATGACCAAAGTCCGCACTTGCTCAATGACATTCTCATTTCGGCTTGTTGAGGGTCTGTCTGAACACGGTTCGCTGTCTACTGGTGTGTGGCCATCTTTGAAGCGGTTGTACCACTCCTTTATCTGTAAGTTGCTCATGGCATCATCCCCGAAAGCTTGTTGAATCTTGTGAATGGTTTCCACTTGGGTATCACCAAGCTTTTGGCAAAATTTGATGCCATTTTCTGCAGGCGGGAAAAAATTCATGACTGCGCATGAATGTCCCCTCCACATCTCCACCGAAGGGAGCCTCCCGCGCTTCGTTGGTTTATGCGGGAAAAAAGAAGGTTCGATACTTTTTGAACACACCACGTATGTGTGATCTGAATCTTGACTACAACACCAACTTGCTTTGCCAAGATATTTCATGGTTTTTCTCAGTCCCCCAGGTTCTAGGATAGTACCTCAAGTTAGGACATGGCTGCTTCCTTCCTCATTTCTTCTAATTAACTGTTCATTGTCATCCAGTCATTTGATGCTGTAAATTGTGACTGACAACATTGTTATATGAAGTAGAAACAATTACTTATAATACTATAATATATAAAAGGTAAAATTGTCCCTGTGCTTAATTAATTAGGCACCAGGCCATGAAGATGTGGGGAAGTATTCTTGACCTTGACACTAGGTGTAGGTGAGTGGTCAGCTCCACACTTATAGTATATAATATAATGTAATTGTAAGATTATATTATAAATTTATAATGTAATATTTGGGATTGTATTTGCAGCCTTGACTTTTATACATACCGGCAAGAGCACATGTAAATTCTGCAATATCTTTGGTATTCCTCTATTAAGTTTTGAGGCTGAAAACAGGAAAAAGACATAAAAGTTACATTTTTGACATATATTGGAAGAAGTCGGGGTATCTCAGTTGATATAGGGATGTGCAATGGCCTGGACAGCTGCAGTTCGATTCCTGGCAGAGGCAACATCTTTCTCTTCTCCACAGTGTCCAGACCAGCTCTGGAGCCCACCCAGCCTCCTATTCAGTGGGTACCACAGGTGATTTCCTTGGGGGTAAAGCAGCCAGGGTGTGAAGCTGACCACTCACCTTCATCTGGTGCTGAGGTCAAGAATGGTGGAGCTATATCTCCACTCCCATGTATTATTATTATTATTATTATTATTATTATTATTATCATCATCATCATCATCATCATCTCTTGTCACAGGTTTATTTCCTGGTATTCCTTTTCTTGAACCAGTGATGCACCTCACCACTCAGGCTTCAAGCTTCACACTGTAGCACTTTTCGTAGTATGTGTGATGTTCCCAGGATACTGTTTTTTGCAGTGAATCTATGGAGTGCTTACCAGGAATTAGTTCCAGATATTTTCTCAACCCTCTCGTGACTGTACCCGTGGCTCCAATAGTTACTGGTATCACAAAACATTTCATGTTCCACATTCGCTGAGTTTCGATGCTTAAATTTTTATATTTTAATTTCTTCTCTGCTTCTTTTTGTACTACATTCCTGTCCGCTGGTATTGATACATCTATAAGTATGCAAGTTTTCTTTTGCTTGTTTTTAATTAATATGTCAGGCCTGTTTGCCAGAACCTCTCTGTCTGTTTGTACACCTTGGTTCCATAACACCGTTATATCCTCATGTTCACATACTGACTTAGGCACGTATGAGTACCAGTTGTCTGATACTTGAATTCCAAATTCTTTACATATTGAGTAATTTAAATACATGCAAACTTTATCATGCCTTACTATATATTCTTTCTTCGCCAAAACAGGACATCCTGATGTTAAATGGACTATAGTTTCTTCGTATTCTTTACACAGTCGACATTTACTTCCGATCTCTTCTTTCAATATTTTTCTCTTAAAATAGTTTGTACTGATTGCTTGGTCCTGAGCTGCTATGATTAAGCTTTCTGTTTCCCCTTTAAAGCCTCCAAATTTCAACCATCGATAGGTCTGTTCCTCATCCACCAGAGTGTCATATAAGCTGTGTGGATATTGTCCGCGCATTATTTTCTTTTCCCATTTCTTTTGTGTTCTGAGCTATTGCCT